CCTGCTCGGGGCTGGGGCTGGGGCCGGGCTGGGGCGGTGGACTCCCCGGAAGGGCCCTCGATCCCCCCTTCAGGCCCTGCTGCCCCGCCGGCGTAGGAGAGGCAGAGCCGGGTGCTCCACGGGCCCTCCGCCGGGCAGGAGCAGCTGAAGAGATGCAGCTTCAGCCCCTGTCCTCCGGGCTGGGACCGGGAGGGCTGCTTGTAGCTGCTCAGCCCAGCCCCAGAGCACCAGACAAGTGCGTGTTGGGGAGGTTTGTACCAAGCAAGGCTGGGAGCCGTCCAGCCGCGCTGCACAGACTGGGGTTTCCCGTCGTGCGGCTGGGCTGGTTCCTCATGCTCCCCTGCCCTGTTCTGCTTTACCGTGAAAGGGCTCAGGGGTGCAGTTTGAGGTCTTTAACCATTATGCACGTAGAGATTAAAGCCTGCCTGGCAGGTGTTGGACATGTGTCCTATAGGAAAACCCTCCCACAAGAGCCATAGCACTGTGTGACCTGCTAGATGGCCAGTGACTTTGAAAGGAAGGGGAAAGCAGGAACCGGAGGAGGTCAAGGTCATAGGAGACGTATCTGTTTAAAAATAAGTAACGTTTGCAGCGCTCAGTTGCCTAGTCGCTTATGCCTTGTGAAACGTGAAAGGAGTCCTTAGCCGGTCAGTGCTGGTAACGGTGGGTTGTTGGTACCTGCAGTAGGTGCACTGCTTTTTAAACCCTGCAATTTAACAGTCTTAGCCTCTATCTCCAGCACCAGAATACATGCCAGCATAACTGGATTACAGCAGTGCTAATGTAATTTAAGCCTTTATCATGCAAGAACAACCTTTCGTTTGCCCAAGTGTGGGTTAGTTAGTACAGGGCTTTTTTTGGCCCAGTCACAGCAGGACATGATAGAATGACTAGGTCTTTAAAATGGAGGTAAAAACATTCTTTTGTTCCACTTAGTTGATTTAGTTGTGGTTAAATAAGCACTTGCCTGCTAGCCACCAGAGTTTTAAGCATTTCACCTTTCAGATACATTTTTCTTGTAGCTATATCATGCTTCCTGGGTCCAAAAGTAAAAACTCCTTTTGGAAACTTCTGAAAAGTTTTACTGGTCATATTTGAGATTAAAGTATGGATAAGAGAAGTTTTTACATAATAAGAAAACTACTGAGATGGTTTGTCCATTTATGCAAGGGGGGAAGAGAGGCTTTAATTTTACAATTTCAAGCTGGACTCGCATTTTGAGTGCCTGACAAGCTGCTAAGAGATCCACCGTTTGGAGACAGTGAGTGATCATTTGGAAATATTTTGGATATCAACAGTATCAAACTTCCTTTTAAGTAGTATGGTCATCTGGTGCACTGCCCTTGTGGTTTCAAATAGTTCTGTAATTTCAATAAGGTTTATATAGCTCTTGCTGTCATATTATTCAAGTATTGTGTGATCTTTAATGTAGTTAGGCTCACAACAACACTGTGATGTAGAAAGGCAGACAAGGTTCCTTGGGTGAATTTGATATCTTTTATTAGACCAACCCAAATGGTTGGAGAATAGTTATTAAGCAAGCTTTCGGGTTCAAAAACCCTTCGTCAGGCTCAGGAAGCTGCAGCAGTTGGTGTGTGCTCTTCCTGGATGTAGAAAAGCACTATTATCCTTATTTTACATATGGAAAAGCTGAGGCTGTTTACATTGCTTGCCAAGGTTGACCTTAAAGCTGGCATCAAGCCCGTAAGTTACTGGTGCAAGAGGTCAGCCAGCAACTAAGCTTAACTACAGGGGGCAGGTCGGCCTGAAGCCAGAGACTCTGCTGAACTCCAGAGGTCAGGCCTGCCCACCCTTGCTGCATGTTTGGAGCTCACTTAAGTTCACAAGGACAGGATGTCTGCTAGCAGCAATCCCACAGCTTTCTGTTCTTGATTGTGATCACTTTTGTGCTTCACATCCTGTCTTGCCTGCTTGTAAATAGAATTAGAATTAGGACAGAAAGAGAGACCAAATGTAAGATAGATATATATATATATATATATGGGAAGACACAGCTTGTGTGCTTTCGGTTGGTTGAGGGCAGTCCTCAAGTGTAACCCTAAGTATCAACGTAGATCAGGATGGGCAAAATATGGCCTGGATTCTGCCCTCCAAGGCATTTTGTCCAGCCTGCAGCAAGTCCCTTGACCCCGCCCAGCCCAGGCACACCCCACACCCCCTTTGGCCTTGGCGTGAAGTGGCTGAATGACTTTTCCCAGCAGGCCCAGCCATGACTCCTGGCTGGCTCTGCCATGACCTGGCCCCACTGCCTGGGCACCCCGGCCCATCTGCCCCACACCCACCACCAGGAGCAGGACCTGTGTGGGCAGGGTATGGGGCCAGGGTGATGAGACGGAGCCATGTGTCAGTGGGGATCCGTGTCTGGGAACAGGATGGGCAGGTGGGGCTGGGAATCAGGATCACAGGGTGGTGACATCATGGGCTCGGGTCAGAGCTGTGATGTGCTTCCTGCACATCCTTGCAACAGGTGCCAGTTCCACAGCCAGGGGCATGCAGGGAGCGGATTTCAGCTCTGCCCTGGGCTCCAGCCCCAGACTGTCACCACCCAGCAATCCCAATCCCTGGCTCTGGCCTGCTCCTAGACACAGCTCCCCATCTGGCCAGTTATGTGCTGGGGCCACTTAGGACACTTTGGTGAGTTGTTGAAGGGGAGGGAAGGGTGCTGATCCAGCCTGCGACAGCTCACTAGAACTCCCTAAGTGGCCCTCTGGCCAAAATAATTGCCCACCCCTGCCATAGAGTTATTCAGAATTTATTTGTACAGGAAGTCAAATGGATCTCTGGGAGAGCAGGGCGCTGAACCAAGGCATCACAAGTCCAAGGCTAATATCTTACCCTTGGGCCGTCCAATTAGAGGGTGATGGGGAGCTGCAGACCCGCAGGCTGCATGGGCTGCACACAGTGGGGATGGCCCTCCTGGATTCCCCAGACTGTGCCCCCATTGGCCCCTCTCTCACTGTGCCACCTTGCACTCAGGAGTGGGGCAGGAAGCAGAAGCTGGAAGGGGAGGGGAAAGCCCAGAGCTCCTAACTACTATAGCAGAAGGAGCAATGGGAGGAGTTGTGGTCAGGAGGGAGCTCTTGGGCCACATGTTAACTCCTCATGCATGCTACATGCAGCTCATAGACAGCCAATAGAACAGCCTTACCCTAATCCACGGGTATCCTGCCCTCTGATCTGTTGTGATCCATTATGTTTTACAGCTCTTAATATTTCTGTTAAAGTGTACACATTCTAATTCTATTCCAGTTGAAGCAAAAAAACACAAACTCCAGAACAAAATGTAGTTGAGAATTTGGTGTAAATACATCAGGAAACTACAAGGTATGTCACTGGGTGCTGTTTATTGCTGAAGTACAGCTCTATTGCGACTCCTGTATCATGAGGTCTTGGCAGCCGTGGCTGTGGTGTGTGCATGTGCATGTGCTGTTCTGAGCTCCTTACATAACTGATCCATAGATTCTTTTGGTTCATTTAAACCGGAAGTTGACTTTTCAGAAGTGTAATAAAAGATTTTGTTCCAATTTTTGAGCATTTATTGTGGTCAGTTTTTTTTAAACGAAATTAAAAGGAAAGTGTCAAACAAAGTAATAATGAATTGAAAAATATAAAACCATTTCATTTTTTTCACATGAATGATGTAAAACAAAACCAAACCTTTTTTTGCAGAAAAATTGTATGCAACTGAAGAGTTTCACTCTGTCTAGTATTGTGCCTATCCTGTGGGGGCCCTTACAGTAGTAGTATTGTACTCTGGACTCACTGGTACCACTTTAAATCAGACCTAGAATTTTTACAGTAGGTAACTCTTTATGTTGCATAAACACACGCTAAAACTAATTCAGTGGTATATGCTTGATGCCTTTGCATAAAGGCACATCAAGTCATAGGAACCTTCCATTTGAAATCTTAAGTCTAATCTTTTTACCATAATATTAACATTATTTATACTGTTTGCTTTGGAATTTATCACAAGCATGTTCCTGGAGGCAGTGTAGACTTAATCAGCTAAAAGCTGGTGCTTCACAAGAAATAGTATGCCTTGGTAGGCCTAGGCTGCAGTTAATGTAAACTTTATCCTTGAAATGGGTGTTAACTGTGGGTAATATTTACTAGATTTTTCTTGTATATTTGATATTTTGCTTATATCTTATTGTCCCTCTGGCACTAACTCCAAATCATATAAGAGTTGTCTGCATTACCAGTGTTGCTGACTAATATTTTATTGTCGTTACCTCCAAGCTTTCTGGTGTAAATATTTTACATGAATTTCCAGTTTCTTTTAATTGCTGGACTGCTAAGGACTAAGCTTAGTTATAAATTCTGAATTTGTATCGACTTAAGTGCCTGACCGAATGAATTAAAGACTTAACTGTAAAGTTCATTCTGCAGTTCTTCCTAGCCAAGAGTGTAACTGTGATCAATATAAAGTTCACTCTTCTTAGTGCAAAGAAGTAACAGCAGGGTCTGTACATAGAAACCATGGTTCTGAATTTACAGTATAAAGTTAAAGCTTTTAAAAACAAAATTACACTTCAAAAAGAAAATGATAGCCACACTTGCATGCATAATGTTGAATTTTTGCAATTCCCTATCAAAAGATCTCTAGACTTGGTAGTTGACTGACTCATAAATTAGTATAGGGCTGCTGTTGAAGTGGTTTCTGTGGAAATGACACTTCCTGCATGCTACGAAAATGTTGCATAACCCACTGACCTTGGTGCCAGTAATCAGAAAATGCTTGTGTTGCTGGTTGTTATTGACTGGGTTCTGCTAAGATATGACTGGGTATAGACTGAGGAAGAAGATGGCTGCAAAGCAGTTGGCATGTGTGCACCAATAATAAATACATTTGCATTTAAAATAATCTTTTATTTTTTTAATGTAAAATGATTAATGTAGCTGGCTTATATCTGTGCGGGGGGGAAACCTGAGCTCTTCTTGAGATTGACCTACCTAATGCTTCGGAAACTGAGATGCTAGGCCCCTTTATTAAATATGACTGCAATTCTACACCAAGGTTATGTATTTAAAAGATATATGGGGAATACAAAAAGTAAGCAAAGAAGCAAAAACAAAGTATATTTTCAGTAGAAAGTAATTCAATGTTTGAAGTTTTGTTTTATATCCTTAACAAAGGCATGAAATTCATAGAGTCTGCGCTTAATAGAGATGGTGAAGCAGTATTTACTAGAGCTGCACGTGGCCTCATGAGCCTCATACCAACTCCCCTTGTATTCCAGGTTTCGGGGCTCTGGAAGCCAAACCATGTTCTGTGCAGAGGTTTGAAAACATAAATGAAATATATGGGGATTGCATAAGTGAACAATATTATGGGGTGAATGACCAATGGCAAGCCAGAAATATCTAAATTAAGAGGTAGTAGTTTGGCAAAGGTTGACTGCTTTTTATAACTTGGTCTTTAATTGGGGCATTGCTGTGCAGTATGTCTAATACAGCTTTATCTATGCACATCAGTATACAATTTAATACACTTTTTGAGTTGGTGCTCAATTATTAAGCTGGTGTTACAGTAAACCAGTAATCTTTTTAGACTGAGGTAAAGTATTCATTAAAGGCCATTTAGCTTAGTATTACCTTAAGTTTTGGACTTGGCCATATTTGGAGTAACCTGGTCAAAAAGTTTTGGTACATGTGCTGCTAGTTTTTATGTTTTTATAGGAGTGAGGCAAAAAAGTGGTAGATGAGCTTTAAAAATGTTTAAACACCTACCTGGTCCTATTACACTCAAATTTATAAACTTTTAGTAAAACTTAGGACTTTGTTTAAGGTTCTAAAAAGAGAATGGTGGGAGAGGAACAAAGGGGGAAGCTCTTTTGTGAGGAGATTAAGGCACCACTTGGAAAACTGTAAGGCTGATATACCTATTCTGTTGGTTTGGCAACTGTCGATCCATCTGGATTATAGATTCATAGATTGTAAGGCTGGAAGGGACCTTGGAAGATCATCGGGTCCAGCCCCCTGCACCAAGCAGAAAAGATAACTGGAGGTCAGGTGACCCCAGCAAGGTGACTGTCTAGTCTCCTCTTGAAGATCTCCAGGATAGGTGATTGCACCACCTCTGGAGGGAGCTTATTCCACAGTCTGGACACCCTGATTGTGAAGTTTTTCCTAATGTTGAGCCTGAATCGGTCTTCCAGGAGTGGTATTCTGGCCATTACTCCTAGTGTTCCACTCGGGTGCAGTGGTGAACAGTCGCTCACCAAGCCCTTGATGTACTCCCCTAGTGTAGCAGTAAGCTGCTACCAGGTCCCCTCTCAGCCTTCTTTTCTTCAGGCTGAAGAATCCCAGATCTCTCAGCCTTTCCTCGTATGGCTTGCTGTGTAAAATGGGTCATATGGGGGGGCTCTTCTTTGGACTCTCTTAAGTTTGTCCATGTCCTTGTTAAAGTGTGGTGCCCAGAACTGGATGCAGTACTCCAGCTGCGGTCACTAGTGCTGAGTAGAGCGAAAGAATCGCCTCCTTGGTTTTACTGGAGATGCACCGATTGATGGATGCCAGAGTATTATTTGCCCTACTGGCTACAGCATCGCACTGCCAGCTCATATTCGTAGTGTGGTCTATTATTACCCCCAGGTCCCTTGTGTTTGTGGTGCTAGTCAGTTTGGTGCCACCAAGCCTGTAGGTGTGTTGGGGGTTGCTCATCCCGAGGTGGAGCACTTTACATTTCTCAACGTTGAACTTCATCAAGTTCTGATCTGCCCAACTTACTAGCCTGTCTAGGCCCATCTGTATCTGTAGCCTATCTTCAACCATGGCCATGCTTCCCCATAACTTGGTGTCATCTGCGAATTTGGCCAGTAAACTATTCACCACCACATCCAAATCATTAATAAAGATGTTGAAAAGTACTGGACCAAGCACTGACCCCTGCGGGACACCGCTGCCCCCTTCTCGCCAGGATGACACAGATCCGTTCACTATGACTCTCTGGGTCCTGTCCTGCAGCCAGTTTTTCACCCACCTGATTGTCTCAGAGTTAAGCCCACAATCCTCCAATTTTCTCATGAGGACATCGTGGGATACTAGATCAAAGGCCTTTTGGAAGTCTAGGTTTACAATGTCAACCTGCTCTCTCGTGTCCAGGTGGTGAGTTCCCTGGTCATAGAAGGAGACAAGGTTGGTAAGGCAAGACCTGCCTGCGACGAAGTCATGCTGGCTGTCATTCAGGATCTTACCTTCTGCAAGCTTATCGCAGATAGACTCCTTGATAAACTTTTCCAGGATTTTCCCTAGGATGGAAGTTAGACTGATTGGTCTATAGTTATCTGAGTCCTCCTTCCTGCCCTTCTTGTGGATGGGCACAACATTGGCCCTCTTCCAGTCCTCAGGGACTTCCAGAGTGCCACAAGTTGTGGAAGAGTTTTGCCAGGGGCTCCACAATGACTTCAGCCAGCTCCTTTAGCACTTTTGGATGAAGGTCATCCGGTCCCACTGACTTGTATAATATGTCTAATTCTATAGTTATCTGAGTCCTCCTTCCTGCCCTTCTTGTGGATGGGCACAACATTGGCCCTCTTCCAGTCCTCAGGGACTTCCAGAGTGCCACAAGTTGTGGAAGAGTTTTGCCAGGGGCTCCACAATGACTTCAGCCAGCTCCTTTAGCACTTTTGGATGAAGGTCATCCGGTCCCACTGACTTGTATAATATGTCTAATTTTTTTTTTTTAATTGGTCATACACCAATACTATGGCCATAGTAGGTAGGAGATTATTCCTACCATGCTTATCCTATATTCTACCTGGTGTTGTTTTCCCCTTGGTCCGGTGAAAGACTAAGGTGAAGTAGTCATTCAGGACTTCAGCTTTCTCCTAGGTGCCGGTAACCAGTTCTCCTGAGTTGTTGAACAATGGCCTTACTCTCCTATTTGTTTTCCTCCTGTTCCCTATGTACATAAAGAAGGATTTCTTGTTGTCCTTGATTCCCTTCGCTAATCCAAGTTTGGTCCCGCTTTAGCCTTCTTTATCTTTTCCCTGCAAATGCATCATTCCTGTACATCATGGTGTATGTGTGAGGTCACCCAGACCATTGATGCATATGCCTAGGCAGGAGTATGGAGGAGTGGAGGCTGCCCAGACCTTCCCTCCCCCACTTAGGCCATTGAGACAGAATCCAGAGGCCAAACCAAGTCCAGATATTTGGTGCCTCCATAGGTGTAGTTGTATAAGTGTCCAAATGTTGAACCTGGGTCTTCTGTGTGGCAGACAAGAATTCTACCACTGAACAACAGGGGACTTCACCTATTTTAGTAAAGTATCTTTTTGTGAGGAAAAAAATGACACTTTTCAGCTGTTATAGCTAGT